AAGCCATGTATGCCCATTTTAACCCCTCTTGTATGTGTGTATTGTGTGTATGTCGTATGTGAGTATTAAACAAAGGCTTTTATTAGGTGCATTGTTTCATAGGCAGTAAATTTGAAACCCACAGTTCTTTTGAGTGAGTCATCTCATGAGTTTACAGTACATGTAAGTGTCATTGTGCACAGAGCTATGAATCCAGTTCTGTACACTGACTGTGTTTAATGAAGACCATGTCTTCCTCAGTTTCTCTTTTGACCTCTGGCACGTGTTAAGGTCAGTTCACCCACATCGAGCTCTGATCTGTGTGGTCTGTAGTTTATGATAATTTGCTCTGTGTGTAAAGAAAGATGTTCAGTCAGGCTGTGAGGGGAAGGAATGATAGGCTATATTGTTCTACTGAAAGCCCTCATGAGGATGAACCCTGCAGCCGAAATGTCAGCACATCCGCCCACGTGCCACGCCGAAATGACTGGTACAAATATGCAAACTTTTTGGGTTGGATCCCGACACTGTGCAGCCATGATGACAGACTGTTATGGCTTGATCTAAAGGATACACGCAGCTTGTGGGGTTAGTGTTGTGACGCTCATTCCTGGGAAATAGAGCAGAATTTTGTCCTTGACTAATGCCGGGACACACTTAACGACAAGCTGAAACATTCTAAGACTGAACACACTTATGCTGAGTTCACACTGAACGATTTTAAGCCCGATTTTTGCTCGCCGACAGGTTTTGCGAGATTGCTGACAAATGCCCGAAATCATAGGCAAATCGGTGCTCGTTCACGTGAGTGACAATCACGCAGTGTGAATTATCAAAGACGCGATCTGAGACAATTGCCGACAATCGATATTTGGACCTGTCGGCGATTCAAAATCCTGCTGTGTGAATGTGTTCTGACTGAAAACTACATCGGCGATGACCTATAGGCAATGAAAGAGCAAGATACAGGACAGCGTGATGTTCGGGGAGGAGTTATAGACCAGAATATCAGTATTTTAATAGATATACAGTATTTACAATTATATCAAACAGAAACAAAGCACAAACATTTGCTTGACCAGCAGCACATTGCAAAATTATTTATTTGCCCCCAACTCTCTTTGCAGAACACACAATCCTTGCTCCCCAAATCATGTAGTGTGAAACCCCCTGTCGCCGATCCAGCGTGTAGTGTGAACACACCAGCAACTGAATGCTACCACAGATAGTCGTGCAGTGTGAAAAGAACAGTGACCCGACTACTTTGACAATCGTGCAGTGTGAACTCGGCATTACAGACTTTTCAACGACTGGAGCAGATGTTAAACACCAACTTTGAACACAACTGTCTCTGACTCAGCGCGTTTTGGGCATGATCAGTCGTAAGAATCAAATTACATTCAAAATCGGCCTTTCAGTCGTTAATTCCGGGGACACACTTAACGACTAACTGAAACATTCTGAGACTGAACTGAACACACTTGTAGACTTTTCAACGACTGGAGCAGATTTTAAACACCGACTGAACGCAACTGTCTCCGACTCGGCGAGTTTGGGCATGATCAGTCGTAAGAATCAAATTACATTCATAATCGGCCAAAGTGTGTCCCCGGCTTAAACTCAGCAGGAAAACCCTCTTGTGCAGTATCTCCCAACAGGAATTTTAGCATTACCTGTAATTCTTTTTTTGTAATTTTAACAGAAAAGAATGTAAAAATGTTATGGTAAGAAACAAGCAAAAAATGCTTAATTGGTGGACATTCCTCTAGAATGAAAGGTCCAGTGGGGTTCTATAAATCTTGACTCAATTTTAAAGACTATGTTATGCCAAAACGCCAATCCATTTTTCACCAGCACCCACTCCACAAATGTGGCGAAATCTCCCTGAGAACCATCCACTGATAAGCGTGCCTTAATTGGACCGCTTGCTCAGGCTGGAGAAATATAAAACACAAAGAGCGAAATCAGGAAAGTTGGTGTGGCACCCCAAGTCGAAAAAGTTCCTTGTGTGGTCCTCGTGGCTTTGCTTCTTCAGGACTTCATCAGTAATATGATTATACTATTGATTATATTGATATATATGTTTATCTTGTTTGCGGGTCTGATTGTTGTGTACATTGTTATTTACTTTTTTCATCGCGAAAGCTTTACGATGTTTGTACAGGTATGATTATAAAACAACTTAAAATTCAATGTCCACATAAATATGCACTTGGTTTTGTAGCCATGCACTAAGGGGAAAATAAAGCCTGACAGGGTGATCAGGACCTTGACGTGTATTTCTGATGTGAAATATATTGTGCATCTTTCAGTGACAAATTAGGTTTTTGTTACACTTTATTTGTGTCTTTGTTAAAGTGCAATTATACATTTAATTAATGAGTAATATTAATTAAGTACAGTATAGGGTTAAGGTTAGGATTAGGGTTAGTTGCATGTAATTATGCATACTGTTATTTGTAAAGTGTAACAAAGACTGTAAAATAGTGTTACCGTTTTTTTAAAAAGCATTTTTGCACTGGTTTATTTAGGCAATTGTTTCTCCTGCTTCTATACCAAATTTGTCTATAAAAAGAGATTTTTCATCCCTGTGTGTCTTGTGTACTTGTGCATTTATACCAAAAAAACAAAATTGCAGGAATACCATTATAATAAAATAGATTTTGAGGGTAAACAAAAACGCGACTGAAAAGATGTAGGCAAATACAAAATAAAGGGAGAGCGTTTGAGAGCAGTTTACATAACCTATAATTGCGAAAATAATGTAAAAAGTGCCTCAAATTCAATTATGCGGTCCATGCTCTTTTTGGTCTTTACTCATTCTGATTTACTTGGCTGGTGTGCAGTCCTCTTTCCTTTCCCTTAAGCCCCAATTTATCATTCTGTTTCTCTCTTCTCCGCTCCTCTTTTCTGTATCCCCGTTGTTCCCCCAGGCCCCATGCTAGTCACACCCTGACACAAGAATCAAAGAGTTCTTCTAACCTCTTCTCTCCCTTTTCATCATTTTATCATTACATCCCTCTGTCATCCACCCATGCAGAGTACTTCTGATGGTATTGTTCCCAAAGAAAATGACACTTTTGGTGAAAATTACACACACTTTAGATCACTACAACATTCGGGGTCAACATGAGGCTCTGATGTTTTCAAAGAGCAGAGTCTGGACCGTGGAAAGGTCACAGAGTCGGTATCAGTTACTAGTATGCTCTCCTGTCTCCTATAGCTGAGACAGGAAAACTCACAACTCTGTGCCATACAGCAGCTTTTACAGGAGTAATTCCTGTTAAATGAGCTGTGAAGAAATCTAGATGAAACAATTTGTCATTTACTTACCCTCTTGTTGTTCCAAACCTTTTTTTTTTTTTTCAATGGGTTTTGAAGAATCTTCATGCAGAATCTTCATTTTAGATTGCAGTTTAAATCTCATTTTCCATTTCACATATTCAATCACGTTATGATTGGTCACATGAAAACCAATGGCATTTGCCATCATTAATCAAAGCAGTTCGAGATTATAGAGCTTCAGTGGGGTGGTATTATTAATGAATAAAGCTTTAGTCTGTTTGCCAGACAAAACTATGGCTTGTGCACTACTTTTATGGTGCTCAGTTAATTTCGTCCATTGGCATTTTCTCAGAGGCCAGGGAGGCAGCTCCTCTCAATCAGTCAATCAGTCAACCAGTCAATCAATCAACCAATCAATCAACCAAGAATAAAAAAAACCCAGAAGTAATCTAAAAGATAAAGGCCGTCTCTATTACCTACAGTTGACTATTAAATGTAATAGCTGACCAACATTTCAGTAGTAAATTATACATTAAATATGGCTGATTTTCATAAATAAAAATATGATTTAGCCCTTTTGGAGCTTGACTATTGTGAACAATCTCTACTATCAAACTACTATAAACTGTTATTGAGCTACTTGAAAATTCATCATTTTTCTTTTGCTTTTCACAGAAAATAACATCAATCATGTTTGTATCAACATGAGGGAGAGTAAATGATTACAGATTTTTCATTTCTGGTTGAACTATTCCTTTAACAGCCATGCTGTTCATTTCAGTCTGCCTCATCTCTGATGTTATTGTTACTGGAAAATATATGTTTCTGGAAGAAATTTCCCAAAGCAAGGCCTTATCAGTACCGCTGTTTCTTGAAAACAGACCCATTTTTCCTATAGGACCCTTTGAATATTCCCTAACTTCTGTGCATTAAGCGTTAGAGTATAGCTAAAGTAATGCTTGTGCATAGCCGGTGTCTATGTGAATTTTGAAGTGCAAAGAGTCACTTCAGGCGTCATGAGAAAGGCAGTTTAATACATTGCTGTGCTGTCATGACCCAAGAATAGCACAAAATAACAGTAATGAATGACACAGCTGAATGTAACACACCGCATCCTCTCCCTCTAACACAAAAGCTCCACCCTCCCAGTCCTGTCTTCTCTCTCCTCTTCTTTCATCACTTTGCCCTCCTCCATTTCTCAAGCCCCTCTCCTCTTATCGGGTTCGATAACGCACTCTTTCTCCCGCACACCCAACTCTTGCCCTGAGAAAAGTGAAGCAGCTGTTTTTGCTCCAGCTATCCCAGGAATGCCTGTTTGAAACCCAGTGTGGGCTTAGATACTATTTCCAAAGGGACACACAAATGCATTGTCTAAACCGATGGAAGAGCTAGAATTATACAAGTACATACTTGTCAATCACACAAAACTTGTAACCTATAGCCAACGACACGTTTTATACATGTTTACCCCCACGTTTTGTGCAGCAAGAGTAATTTGTAAGTTAGGCTACTACATATATTTATAGAGCATACCAAACAGTCATGTGACTAGTATGAGATTAATTTAGTTCCTTCAAAATTAAATCGCATCATTTATATTCAAAGTATCACCTTTTTAAAATAATTAGCCGTTGTAATACAGTGTAAATGTCTCTTGGCCGTATGTGATCACTCCAGTAGCACTTTACTCGTTTGGGAAGAGAGAGGAGAGGGGAGGGGCGCACGGTCACCTTTTGTGCAAATATATCAGCCAAGTCACTGCCATCCGCATCAGATTTCTTGCGCCAAGAAGGACGGGGGAGCGCACTAGACTGCTGCGTGTGAGCGCGAAGGAGCTGTACCGAGACGAGACGCTGCAGATAAATACAACGACGCGAGGCGAAACAAAGCCGCCAAGTTAAGACACAACTATGGGGAGAACGATGTTGGGACGGTTCGGGGTTTGCTGCACCTTGCTTGCTGTAGCGCTGCAAGGTAAGGAGGCTACAAATGAGAATAGCCTACTTAGAAAATTTACGAGTTTACTATGTTAATTAAAAGCCTGAGTTATTTTGTTTAACAAATCACAAGCTTTACTTAATAAGTTTCAGTGTATAAACGTAAATGGCTTGTTTGAATGTGGAGTAAATTAAAAGCAGGTTACTTTTCTGTTGGTTCTTGGAACAACCTGTTACCGTGAGCGCAAGTTGAAGTGTCGAAAGGAACTTTAGGGAGGACGTATTAAACAGGTTATGTTATGGCTGTCGGCGTCTATGAGGGTCTTTTGTTCGTGTTTAAGTCAGGGAATGGTTCAAGGGTTAACCTGGACTGGTCTTGGTCTTTGAGGAGGGGATGGTCGCTCCTGCTCCGCGCGCGCTGTCGCCGAATAGACGCGCTTGCTTTCATCCGAGTTCAAGTGTGTGCGGCTGCCAGACTCCAAATTCATATCACGTCAGTATGATTATTAGTACGCGTTATTGAAATTTGGATTTACAACCTCATTCTTAGATTTTTTAAAATCAGATAATATATTCTTAAATAATGGCTTATATTAAATCTTTGTTAAATCGTCACCTTGTGTTTACAATGTGGTTCACAATTTTCGACATTTAAAACTAGTTAAACTATTTATTGAATTTATTACAGAAAGCTTGATGTAAAACTAGGCTACCATATACAGAATTGTGTGCTGCTGGGTGCCATTATCTTATTATGTAGCCTACAATACAAATACCAGAGTCAAAATATGGGTATATGCATGAAATTTTTTTTTCTGTGACAAATAGCTTACACTGTAGAATCAATTTCTGATGAATGCAACTATCAATTTCCCTTTGTTAAATTATCCCCCCCAAATAATAATATCTGTCAAATAATATCTGTTAGTATTCTGTCAGAATATACAGGTATGAACCTGATTTGTGCTACCAAGGTCATTGGGCCGTATAACTGTCTGCACCCTGCGGTTCAGTTAGTAGTTTTGTTCTGCTTTGAAGTGTTTGGCTGCCTATGACCAATAATGTTTCAGCACAGGGGCAACGTGGCCCCTCCTCTAGCTCCGCCTCAGACGGACCATCTTTACCACCTCTCTCACATATGTGTCGATGTATTACCACTTTTAAAATGAAGCCTAAATGCAAAGTAGTACACTGTTTGTTTTGTGGATAAGATGTAATTTTGATACCAAATTTACATTTATGACAGACTATTTGACTCCAGAGTATTGAGAATCTACATGTTTTCCACTTTAACATGACTGTGAGTAAAAACACTCTTATAAAGAAGCTCCCTCTAAAAAAACTAAAAACTAAAAAACCCTCCCAGGCATACATTCTTCTCCATCCCAGAGGTACTTGTGTTTTATCTTTCTGTCTGCTCTTAAGGCTCTCTCTCACTCCCTTCCCTTACTGTGGATCTGGTTCTTCCAGTGTTCTCACCTTCTTTCAGTTCTGCGGCTATCGGAAGTCCTTTTTTTACCTACCTATCTTATCCCTCTGCACCGTTCCATTGTTTGAGACTCTTCTCATGTCCAGAGTTTGAAAATATGTGTGGAGAGTCACAGACAGATGAAGTGTTTCTTTTGATGAGCTCAGTCAAGTCTCCAGGCTGCTGCTGCGTTGGGGTTGAATGCACTGATCAGTGATGCTTCTGTTGCTCTGAAAGCAGGTCCTCTGAGATCTTCTCTTCTGTTGCTGTTTTCCCTCTCTCTTTAACTCAAACGTCATTAAGAATTCACTTATTTTTTTTGCATGTCCTTTGGGCTGATCATGGGATCCACAGTTACTTTCTTTTGATGCCAATATTTGTCAGATCTGATGCTCATCATACCTGTCCCACATGACCCGTGACTTCTGGGTTTGAAAATCGCTGCACTTCCACAAACACTGCAGCATCTTTATGCATCCTTTGTGCGTGTCCTCAGGAAAACCTGTTTTGATGACTTTATCCTCTTTCCGCGCATACATTTAAATTGATCTGTAGCGTTTAACTGGCAAATGACAGCTGCTGGAACTCTGCCCATTCATTTCAATTTGTTGCCTACCTCTCCCAGAGGTGTGCCAGCCTCTGCTAGAGCTTTCATATAATTTGCCTTATAATGGAAGTCTCAGTGATTAGCATTTAAAATGGTTCCCGTCCAGCCTCATATCGGAGCCACATGACCTTGTTACTGTAACCACCAGCACTGATACCAAAGCAATAACCTCTCAGGTGATATTTCAACAATATTATTTGCGTTTTCAATCCATATTGAGTATCCTGAGGCGGTATCGGTGCAGCACCTTGGTGGCTGGCTGCTCAGTTGATCATGGTGGGATGTCAGTAGGTGGCGTAAAAAATTGTTGAGACAGCTTGTCAGCTGAGTTTTAAGGAGCCGCGCAAAAGCAACACGCTTCCCTTCTTTGTCTATTTCCCCCACTCATTTCCTTGCTTGAATTTTCTCCTCAGCAGAACCTCCCCAACCGCAGCGGCATCAAACGTGAGCACACACACACACATCACCCCCTGCAGCCGGCAGTAATTATTATGGCATTAGGAGGCTTCGAATTAAAACCTGCTCTTTGTGCTGCCAGCAGATAAAAGCCAATCTTATGTATGAGGTTGCTTCTGCGAGCTCAAAGCTCCTATAGATATCCATCCACACACACCTGCGCATAAAGCTAGTCACGCACACCTGTGTGTGCAGTGTCAACCCACACGTTGTGTAACTGTTCAAACCCAAGGTGCTAATTTGCCCGGTGATGATGATAGCGGTGGAAAGAGGCGGTAAAGTGTGTGATTTGGCTCTCTGCTGTGGGCCCCAGTCTCTCGGATCAGCTTTGTGATTCATGCCCGTGAGGAGGGGGGAGTCACTGCTTGGAATGAGAAGCATTCAGCAGGGGACAGGTTACATCTCGCCCCCTGACTCTTCAACCCCCCAGATTCTCTCTCTTTCTATCCCGTCTCTATTTCTCTGCCTCTCTTTCTTTCGGCACAGATGGACGCGCAGGCTGCCAGTGAAAGCAAGTCACGCAACCACAACACACATGGTTTTGATCCAAGATCACAATATGGCACTTTGCTGTTATAACCATAGATCATTTTTTACACATAGGCCACATTTTAGTGGTTTAACAGCCTCATGACCCTGTAGAATGTGGAAATTAGACTTAATTATCAAAAAATGCCTTTTATAGATTGACCTAAATGTAGCTGCACCTGAAATCGCATACTATTTGAGGAGGTTCAGCATTTGAAGAACTCACATGAAGAACTCACTTTGTGGTTAAAAACAAAAAGAATAGAGAAAATTAAAAGTTTTAATGTTTTAAATTGAGGAAATTAAGACATCTCATCACGTGACCTATACAGCATCAAGTGTCACTTCTCTGATTCACAACTTCTCTCCTGTGGCCTCATGGGATAGTAAAGTGTCCACAGTATGCACACTTCACAATCTCAGCAGAAGTAGTAGGGTCCTTTTTGCCATCCGGGTTCTTTTTGCCTATTCTTTTATATTGTGAATTCAGATACTTCTCTTTTTATGTACTGTTTTTCACTTATGTAGTAAGTTTTTCACTTAGAGAAGTAGGCATATTCGGACACAGGGTGTTACTTCTTAGAAGAAAGTCTAAATGATTCATAACACCTTCAATAATAATCAAGAGTGTTTGGGCTTGTTTTAATTGTTTTGAGACCCATCATGAAAGCTTGTTTTTGGATTGGCAGCAGTTCTTTTGGCAGCCGGTTTGAGGAAAGCTCACTGCTTGCTGGCACAAAGCAGCAGCAACCACATGGTCGCTCTGAATGAGAGATACTAAGCTGCCCATCTTTTCATCTTAATATCATCTAAACCAGTATTTCTTGATCTTTTTTTTGTCTTGGGTATCCCCACAACTATATCAGTAAAGCGCAAGTACCCTTTTATCAACACCAAACCATAAATGTGTTACTTTTTCCACTTTTATAATATATACAGTACGTTGGATATCATTTAGCATTATTTTTAATGTTATGAAGGTTGTCACTATTAAAGTATTTCACTTTTAAACTAAAACAATTGATTCTGTAGCTTCCTCTATCTTTAATGAGACATCTGAGCTTGCTTGTGTTTGATTTTTAACAATTCTGATGGCAATCGTGGATAAGCTTCATAATCATTTATAATCATTTTGTATAGTATGTTTTATATGTTTAATAATACAAAATCATTTTTTTTTTTGCGTAACCTGGTTTTATTTGTTGGGAATTATTAAAGGGATAGTTGTGGCCCAAAAATGTAAATTTTGTAATTTATGACGTTCTTTCTTCTGTGGAACACAAATTATTTTCAGAAATTGCTCCAGTTCTTTTTCCATGCCATGATAGTCTATGTTGTTTTGGACCTGATTGTGTTTCATTAAATGAACAAAATTCTCTCAAATATCTTATTTTGTGTTCAACAGAAGAAACAGTCTTACAGGTTTGGAACAAAAAAGTGAATAAATGATGACTGAATTGTCATTTTTGGCTTTTCTATGTCTTTAAATAATTTTCAGTTGGGCTATAGAGTCTAAAAAGATGGATTATTATTTTGGTCTACCTGAAATTGCACTTTTGAAGTGAATGTAAACGTATTGACTGATCTGATGCTGCTGCTGATGTTACACTCAGACACACAACACACAGACTGAGAGTTTTAATGCTGTGGATTAGCTCTGTCTGGCTTGCTTCTGTGTATGTTAGTCTCTCTCTTTGTTTTCAGTAATGGCGGTGCTGTTTGCGATCAGTGGGTGACCATTGATGTTTTCTGTGATTTACGGTTGGCATTGTGCGTGCTCCGGCATAGATAACTGCCTCGTACACACACAAAGGTTGACGAAAGGACAGACAGCATGTCTATATAGAATCTGTAATGCCAGGAAAGAATTTATTCACGCAGACCTGCTGAGCTCTTTCACTCAGAATTTATAACCAGTTCTGATTGAGTCATTCCTTCATAAAAAAGCAGCATCTCTACACCCCCCCCCCCTTCTCTG